GTTTCTTTCTCCCCTATATAAACTTTCACATGTGGCATGCGCGCTTTCGCACTTCTCTGCGAATGAGAGGACAGCACCTGGCAAAGAAAAGTCCAAAGGCGAGTGTGTTGGTCAAACATCCAATCAAACTGGGCGCTGGGAAGGGGCACACTGCAGTTCACAAAGGAGGTTGAACATCGTGCATTCGCCACTGGACTCGGGCCGCATGTTGGCATTGTCGCCAACTTGGAACATTTGGTGAGGACAGAAGCCTGACGGGTGATCATGGGCGATTGTTATTTGGGGCGTTGCAGCAAGCCTTGCGGACTCACCAGCTGCTTCCATGATGCACCATACCCTTAGGGTTTCTCGTTTTGCTGCAGGAAGGGTGTTTTTTTGAGAAAGGGCGAGCTCGGCTCGATCTGGCAGCTAAAAGCTTTCACCGATGCTGACGCACGTTCCCCTTCTAGAAATCTTGATGCATAGGTACCGAGCAGGGCGGTAGCCATGTCGGAGGCCTTCCCGGGAAGCGACCTGACCTTTGGGAATAAGCGGGCAGAGATCCACACTTACGAGGCGCCATGGCTGGTGTACGCAATGAACTGGAGTGTCCGGCGGGACAAGAAATTTCGGATAGGCATCGGGAGCTTCATCGAGGAGTACAACAACCACCTGGAGATTGTGCAGCTCAACGATGAGACGGGCCACTTTTACGTCGATCCAAAGCTCACGGTGCAGCACCCGTACCCCCCTACCAAGATCATGTTCATCCCGGATAAGGAGTGCCAAAAACCGGATCTGATGGCCACCACGGGCGACTTCCTGCGCATCTGGCAAATCAATGAGGACGGCATTGAGATGAAGAGCCTGCTCAACAACAATAAAAACAGCGAATTCTGCGCGCCGCTAACGTCGTTTGACTGGAATGAGTCAGAGCCGCGGCGGTTGGGGACTTCCAGGTGAGGGTTTCGCCCGAATCATCTGGGCAAGTGAACCGGGACGCTTGTTGAGGGTTTGAGCCAACACAAGCTGCAGAGGAGAAACAGAGTTGCAGGATAGAGTGCCCATGGTTGTGTCTACGAAGACCCTGTTGGGTTTTGGTTGCACCTCATGTTTGGCTAGCACTGCACCTCAGACAGAGCATGGTAAAGTAGGTTTACTGTTCCTGCTAGAAAGTGGGAAAATGGGGGTATGGGGAACAAGGCACTGCAGACTGAGCATAGCAGATGGTATTTCTGCTATTCTGCTGCCTAATGTCCAGCCGTCCTTGATTTTAGTTGGCAAGACCTGACGGCGCCTTCTTTAGTTTCCTTGGTGTACCCCCGCATTATTGAGCAACGGGCCAAAGCAGGCTGCTTGTTCACTACGGATACGGTTTCGCATGCCCTTGTATGATTCATTCTTGGTGTTGTGTCTGGCTGGGATGGTCTGCGCTACGGCACGCGGCCCTTATCCCCTCAACTTGGAGGTCTTTCTGCTTGTTGGTGAGGCTACAAGAGTTGGCTAGTTGTCATGGTTAGAGTGGTCAGTTGCTGCCTTAGAGCCCAGGAGGGCTGCTTTGTGCTCAACTTCTTGCCACATAGTCATAGTTTCCTTGGCCACCATCGGCTTGCAACGGGAGGGCTGACTCACGGGGTCTGACAGGAGTTAGGGTCTGTCTCACTCTACAAACCTCTTTGGCATCTGCTTTTGACACCAAGCTCTCTCCTGAAGATATTTTTGCACCAAAAGCACTGGCCACCTCGTCTCATGGCCAACATATCATGTTATCCTGATTTTATCCACAGACGCTGTTAAACTTTCATTCTGCTGACATGCAATTGAGGACAAAAACATTCAGAGTTAGCGGGTTGTTTGCACTTTATGGAGAGGGGTAAGGCATTCTCGGACCCAGACTGGATGTACCCTGATGCCAAACAGCGGGGTAGACTCAAAACCCGCTTCTTAATGCGTGCACCTCTGCTCTTGAGAAACAGCACTCCTCAACTTTCCCCCCTTTCGCCATGCAGCATTGACACGACGTGCACGATTTGGGATATCGAGAAGGAGGTGGTGGACACACAGTTGATTGCCCACGACAAGGAGGTCTATGACATAGCGTGGGGAGGCGTCGGCGTGTTTGCGTCCGTCTCTGCCGACGGCTCCGTGCGCGTGTTTGACCTGCGCGACAAGGAGCACTCGACGATCATCTACGAGAGCCCGCAGCCCGAGACCCCGCTCCTGCGGTTGGGCTGGAATAAGCAGGACCCTCGCTACATGGCGACGATCCTCATGGATAGCTCCAAGGTGGTCGTGCTCGACATCCGGTTCCCGACGCTGCCCGTCGCGGAGCTGCAGCGGCACCAAGCGTGTGTCAACGCTGTGGCTTGGGCGCCGCACAGCTCATGCCATATTTGCACAGCGGGGGACGACTCCCAGGCGCTCATCTGGGACCTGTCGTCGATGGCCACGCCCGTGGACGGGGGCCTGGACCCCATTCTCGCGTACACAGCAGGGGCAGAGGTGAACCAGCTGCAATGGTCATCCACTCAGCCGGATTGGGTGGCGGTCGCGTTTGGGAGCAAACTGCAGATCCTGAGAGTTTGATACTGTCGTCTGTCTGCGGCTTTAACGGTAACTTCTTGCTGAGGAATAAGCTAGAGGGGTGTTTTTACTTTGCAATTAAGTCAGAAGCTGTGCTTTAAGGGTTGGACACCGGGGGTGTCCTGGAAGACTACGTGTTGAATAGGCAACCTCATAGTGAAAAATAGTTTACAACCTTGAGCCTCACCATGGGCTGTTGGAATGCAAAGCGGCGATCGCCAGTGCATCAAACCTAAGTTGGCCGCAAATGGGTAACCAGGCGTGCAACATGTTGAACAGATACTGGATCTATGTGCAACTACCTAGGTTGCAAACGCAGCAATATCACGCGAATGCATCGGCTGAGTGGCACCGGCCTTTACGGTCAAGTATGTGCACAGATCTGCTTAATTCCGTGTTCCACGTATTCGGCAGCTAGCTGCGGCCCTCACTGAGTAGTGGAATTGTGTGTACATGAAGCCGCCTTGATCATACTACAAAACCAGATGTACGCGCGCGCGCCAGATTAGGACTTAGAAATGTGATTTGGGCCCCGCCCATGAGCGGGCACCGACGGTCATGGCCAGCTTTATACATATATGTGTGTGGAAAGCGTGATCATCGCACAAAATACTGCAACACCGTGATATGTGCAGCAGCGCCTAGGACAATGCACCATCAGCTGGCGCTGGAACGCATATATGCAGCGCGTGCAATGTGTCATTGACTATATATAGAGCTCAAAGGTGCATGCAACCATGATCCGAGTGACGATCTTACTAAAGACTGGCGGGGTAGGTGGGTTATAAATCGACTCGAATGTGTTGGTGATTACGTTCAATCAGCAGCTGCGGCAACTGAGCCACGGTCAAGTCAGGCCGACCGGCCTGAAACCAACTTTGGCGGCTGCAGTGCTTTTCCATCACCGGGACCAAACCATCACCAAGCTCTAATTTCAGACTGCTCATGCTATTTTGATAGTGGTGGCACATGCTAAGATCGTGCACACAGGATCAGCCACATGTTGTAGTGCGCTGTTGCAGATATAGGAAGCTTGCACAGGTGAACGAATCAAAGATCAAGTAAAACACTTCTTATTGGTTCGAATCCGGCTGACAGGTGCGATCCAAACACAGCCTTGAATAAGGACGCCATGACTTTGACAAGCGCTGACCACAATATGCTGACCTCCCAACACCAACAAATGCACATTGCCAGTTGCGCTATAGCTTTAACTTGTCTTTTGGGTAGATCAAATCTGGGTTTTCGATTGTCGGGTTCAACTTCACAAGGTCTTCCCAGTGGGCCTTCCCAACCCGTCCCGATATGTGTATCAATGTATCCCCTTTTTGGATCTCGTACTCTGACAACGGCAATGGAGTTTTGGCCGGCTTTTTCTTCCTGCAGGGGCACCAGTTCCGAACTCAGCCTGGTATCTGGTAACTGAAAGGAAGCACCTTGCACAGCCAAAGAAGGCACGAAGCGACGCCGAAGTCCTCAAAAAGGATTCATGTTGCTTGGCGTTACAACGTCATTCCGGTCAAACAACAGGGGTACGACCTTGACGAGCGCGCTGGTACGAGAATAGTCTCCGGCGGAGTCGACAGAGAGGAGATCCGGAGTTTGCACTGCCAAAAGTGGACGCAACATCGACTCCAGATGCACCTAAGTCTCAGCCAGACTGCCAACCGCTGGCGGGCTCGCTCTAGCCTTGAGGTGTACATCAAGAACAGCCCACCCATCGATCCTGACGTCCCTGCGTTTCTCAATGCTCTGAATAGCGCGGCACCGCTTGAGAATCGCTAGGTATTCCAGGCATCGAAGCACGCCATCAGATTTCTGTCATTCTCGACGACCAAGGAGAGCGAGGATGCATCTCACAGTAAGGCCACAGAGCTTCCTGCTCACCAGGAGGGCAGTCGAGGGACAACGCAAAGAAGGGAGAAAAAAGACGAAAGAAAAGGAGTGTAGTCAGGGGCGAACGCAAAGAAAGACGACAGGTAAGGCCAGAAGAAGAAAAGGGGATCCGGATTGACAGCAGTTGCTTACCCTGCCCTCCTCGCAAGGAAGATTCCCACCACCGCCAGCAGTCCTGCCGCCACAGGAGCCCACAGCGGGAAACCCAAGTCGTCCGATCTATTGGCTTTTGACGAGTCAGAATCTGGTAGCCGAGAGGTACCACTTAAGCTATCTCGCCGCGAAGAAACTCCGTTTGCCTGACGAGGAAAACCTGAGAGTGAGCGCAGGTAAAGACTGCCATAGCACCAGAAAGAAAGTGAGGAGCTTCAAGTCCGTGTCCTCACCTCTTGAATGCATAAGGCGGGCTCACAAGCTGAGGAGCGATAGCTTCGCGAAGTCTCGGAAAGAGGCAATTGAAGCAAAGATGCTTAGTCCTGGCTCACATGGTTTCCCTGCGACATGGTCACAAGAATACACCTGGTCAAGACAAGACAGGCTGCCTTTACAACTACAACACAAGCAAACAACAATGACGAGTGCATGCCTTGTCAATTCACGAAACCATGACTATCCTTGGACTTGAAACAGGCGCCGGTCGAGAGCTCACCTTGGCGGGGGGCTCCGAGACTGCGGCATCCTCGGTGGGTCGCCGGGGCTGGAAGGTCTCGAGGATGTCGCCCACTTTGGTAGACGGCCGCCGCCGCATCTTCTGCAGGCTCTCCACGTCCTCGAACGACACCGCCTGCGAAGAACAGCCACTTACGCTGTGCTTCGGGGAATGAATGCGAAGCCCAATTTGCGACGCGTGCGAAGGAAAACGCGCTTGCGGTGGCCTTGTCTGGAGGAAAGCAAATGAGTAGAAGAGAGTCGCAACATGTGGGCAGAGCACGATGATATTTTCTTCTACAGATGCAGTGGACCAGTGGAATGTTGACTTGGCGAGTAGATGCGGCTCAACACTCTCGCTGTGGGACGACCATGTTGTCAAACAAGTACGAAATCCAGAAACCTTTTGGCACAAAGTGCGAGGGAGTCCGTTATGGGCAGGCATAATCCAGAGAATATAGGTCGTGCAAAAGGAGAAGGTCGCTGTAGACCACAGCTGCTTGCGCCCTTCCGAACCCGCCTACTTTTCCGGCTTTGTTGTTTCTTCGAAGGCTTCAGTACATTCAGAGGATACGAAGTAAGAGAAAAGTCATTCTTTGAGACCCGCCTGACTTGGGGAATGTACGACCAACACTAAACGGATTAGGTGGAGGCCAGGCAATGGAGGCCTAAAGCCCTGAAACAAGCACAGCATTGTGCCAACATTGGGCACCGAGTCTTGAGCATCTGCTGAGCTGTTCAGGAAAGCAGATCCTTCGCTTTCAAAAGAAGGTAAAAACAACACGCGATACTGATCCGACCTGGGATGCAGAAGCGGGATTGTTGCTGAGAACTGGCTCCGTACGGTGTGCAAATTCTCCAAAATCCAAGTTTGCAAAGATTGAATTTCTGTTGCGATGGACTACGAAACTCAGAAGGCGGCGGGTTGCCGGGACTATACCACTGCATCTTTGACCTTGCTGGATAGCATGCGCAGGCAGACGCAGACCCGGCGCACGTCCTTGCTCTCTACCAGGTCCGAGGGGGAGAACAGGTGGATGTCGTTCAGGCCGACCTCACGGCAGAACTGCAGCACAGGAAGTTTGGAGATGCAAGTCAGTGTTTTAACTCCATTGAGGCCGGGTGAGATGGGCAGTCTGGTTCGCTGTATAAGAAAAGTGGTGATTTCAGAGTCCAGGGGTGTAACGACACAAGGTGCACCCTCGCTAGTGGGGTCCTCATCACAGCTAGCGAATAGGAATGGATTGTCGCAGAGTGTCTTTCTTGCCCTGCCGATCAGGAAAGAAAGGAAAGGTTCGCACGAACAAGGCGCCATAGGCCATCAAAGATTAGGCCTACCATCGCCAAAAAGGGTGGACGATCGAGAAAGTAATGTTGGGGTGTGCCACTCACATTCAGAAAATACTCTACATTGTTGTAAGCTAGATAAGAAAGCTTCTGTGACGAGCGTGAGTTGGCGCCCTTCTTGGCATACGAAGCTCTCGCCGCCTCTGGCCCAGAGGCCTTTGCTGTCTTCAAGCCCCTTGCAACGCGTAACCTGCAAAAGGTAAGAGTTGCTTGTTTTCTGTCGCCAGCTCGTTGCATTAGTACACTCATGGCCTTCAAACAGATTGCATCTGAACCAAGGCGTTCAGTTCACCGAAGGCTTTCGGAGAACCTTGAATTGGCCATCAACGCCCCGTTGAGAATCTTGAATTTGCGATCAACGCCCCGTTGAGAAGAGTCAGTAGCAGATGCGGTAGAACAGGACACTTGTCTCCATCTCAGCTCTGCAAGAGGCGCCTGAAGCATGTGCAAATGTTGACTGCCACTGCCAAATGGACTGGGTCCAGTCAAGCGGGCAAGCAGAGACTCACAGTATCTCCCCATCCTGCAGCACCTCCAGGAGCGTTTTGTCGGGGTCCAACGACTCCTTCAGCAGGCCTTCCAACCAAATCCGGGCACATTTCTACAAGGGCAAGTATGTCGTCCTGACTTTAGTATAGGGTGACGTCGCAGATTCTGGTTCAAATGCAGAGGTGGCAGACAGCACAAGAGCTGCCTGGTCAGGCACCTCTCACTGTTGTAAAGAGCTCACGCTTCATTTTCTGACGTGGTGGAAGTATTTCAAAGTCTGGAATGGACTGCTGGACGTACCGAGTCCCTGCTAGTAATGTGGCGCTTCAAGCTCAACCTCAGCGAGCGAATGCCCCTTCCAAGCTTGTCAAATGGTGCCAAGTTCCAAAAGCAGCCAGAAATTGTTTTAGAATGTGCAATGCTGAGTCCATGACCTCCACCTACATCAACTGTCAAACCAACGGCGACACAGGTATCTTTTATACATGCACTCATTGCGTTGATTGGCATTTAAAAAAAGGCATGCTCCCGGCTAGACAAAGTCTCATTGCTAAGTGCTACCTGCATGCTAGGAAGGTGTTGAAAGCAACACCAGTTGCAGACATGCAGCGCATGAAAATCCCCTCATTTATCTAATGCAGCCTCAATTGTGGGCTTATTGCCCGACTCCACAAAAGATGGAGAATGTGGACTCTGAGCAATAAGTGGGGCACATTACCTGAAGATGGTCGGTGTCAAGATCCTTGTCGGACGCAGCAGTGTCCACAATGTCAGGCGGTGGGCCAGAAGACATCCTGTGTTACCTGATGTTGCCGCTGTCTTCAAAAACAATTGCAGACACGAAGCGCAATAGAATGCAGGCGGACTTCGCACAGATTACGTTTCCTGGACTTCGGGAGGGCGTGCTTGCAAGCATGAGCAGGCCACATTGCATTTGCTAGGACCATTTGCTAGCGGGGGCGGGCGGCTGCTACCTTACGATTGCGGGCGTGGCCTCCTCTCACCGTCGATCTTCTGTGACACCATGAAACGTCTCAGCGACCATAGGTATTCCTTTAACCCTTTGTCGGCGGGGAACTTTCGGTCAATTCTACCGTACGTGAATTTTCGCGATAATCGCAAAAATCAAATTGACCGTCCGATCGATCGAGCGGACGGCGCCGATGAAAAATACTGACGGGTCCGGCACGCCGGTCCGCGACGGTAGCAGTCAAACACTTCCGCGCACTGATG